TATATATATAAATATATTACTTTAATGNGGGGGGGGGGAGCCTCCGCAAACAAAAATAGAATAAGCATATTTTACTGAGACATTCGCTTCTCTAAAATCACGAGAAGTTAGCTTGCATTTTCATTTATTATAAGAAACAGGAAAACGACTATGATGGCCGACCAATACAAAACAGAATTCCCGTCCAGACAAGAACACTCAAACCAACACACAACAGAACTCTCATCCAGATAAGTACACTCAAACCAACACCCAACAGAAATCTAGCCCCAGTAAGAACATTCAAGGCAACCACAACCAGCAAACCAAACAAAACCAAAAGCAACCCACATAACCAAAATAACCAGAGGCAAGTACAACAAGAGGAAAGAAAACCGCATTACAGTGAGGAGAAGAATCCTTAACCACAACAACCTGTACACCTGAAGATGGCCAGTTAGGCCGAAACATGTAGGGTCAAACAAAGGAATACAAAAAATAGTGAAGGACGTTGCACTTAGACGACAAAAGAATTCCTAAGTCAGATCTACAGAGTGCAACAGGATGCTGAAATATACCATTAATCCGAAGTCAAAGGAAAAGAGGAATGCCGTTACTGCTCGGGACCTCCATATATTGACTGCCCCGGGTCTCCCCCGTGAATGCGACCCTGTTTCTAACAACACAATTAATACAAATCAGAAATAACTTAAGGGAAATATTCATCACAGTTCACAGCCCAGAATATCCCTTCGAGGCACAAGTTAACATAAATCAATTTACATGTGATGTCGCAATCATTGGCCCCTAGAATTATTCCGTCTTACGTCAACAAGCCACGCTACAACACTGGCCAAGGTCTCAACTTTGCCTATCGTGTGAGGAGAAAGTGGGGTGTCACTGTCATTTTGCAGGCAGCAGAGCCAAGATGAGTCCTGAAAAGACAATAACTAATGTACACACAGATCAAGAAGTTCTTCCACTGCTGGGCTTTGTCCATGTTGTAATTAGGATAAGAATAATTTCAGGAAAGCCATATTATAAATCAGTCGAGAACTCATAAAAGAAAGGTAAAGTTATTCCTGTAACAGGCCGTGAAGGCCCGTAGGGTTTTGAGATGTCGAGGTTCCCACATTTTCTCTAGACAATCGGCTCACTGATAGCAGTAAAGCTGTCAGCCGGCCGCCCTTTACCCTCACGAAGATACATGGTACTCATTTCTGTTAGAGGCTGAGTTGACCCCAGGACCATAGTGCGACTGGAAGAATTAGGCAAATTGAAAAATCCAATTACCTCATCGGGATTCGAACCCGGTACCTTCCGGCTTGAAGCATAGTGCCTCAACCAATTACGCTACAGCGTGCCTGTTTTACTCGTAATTAATGATTCATCGGCAACGGAATTAGCATCAAACTTACGCTACAAAACGCTCTAGACTTTTATTCGGAAGGTATCGGGTTAGAATGGCTAAGAATATGCAATTTGGAAAATCCGTACAATTGCAAATTAATTGAACATAAGTGGTACAGTCAGTCATTTCGTGGACTGTGGTTGTATCGCATCATATTACAAGATATTCACACACACTTACGCAGATTCGGATAGCAACCTGGCACATAACCAAAGAATCCATGAAGATCTACAAATGAACACAGTCCTCAGTGAAATAAAATGACTTTAAGAAAATTAGAAAGCCACACTAATGTACTAGCAGTGAACCTACTAAGACAGTAGCGAAACTACACAAAGACTTAAAAGATACATCGTCCTAATTCTACCAGACAGACCTGAGTAAACCCCCAATAAAAATGAAAATGATACCTAAGTAAACAAAAAAAAGAATATGAGTTACGCCACTAGACCTAACTCATTCACGAACCAGTACTCAATGAACATATACATTTATTGCGTACTCTGCAGATTATGGATAATAAATGTGTGGGGCGTGAAATCTCTGTCAATTTCCTTTACACCCACCAGAGTTACACGTCCAGCCTATCATAACCTCTAAATCAATCTTTCACAATCAGTATACCCTGACAATCTGCTTGAGGGAACGTGAGACCTCAAGATTAATGAGTTCAGTCACACAGAAACTTCCGTATGTAAGAAAAGATACAATTTGGGACAGTCGCACAATAAATAATCAAAAAGAAACAAATTAGACGCTACCACCAACAACGAATAAAAACAAACGTTGACACAGTAGTGTCTATGTTGTTTCTTTTTTATTATTTGTTGTGCGACTGTTCCAAATTATATTTTTTCGTGTATGACAAAAAAAGGATGCATACGATAAAGATTTTAAATACTTCCGTACATTGTAATAATAAAGAAAAAAAAAACCTTTAAAGTTAGTCCGGTCGGATGGGGTAAATTTCTGCTGACCTTCGCCAGCGCAGTCAAGCTTGGTTTCGATTCCTATCGATACCCATCAACATTTAATTGTTCTTTCCAGGACTTTAACGTATTCTGAAATGGGACTTCCCCTTCGAGATGAAGGGTCAGAATAATAACAGTCATTTTCACTATATGTTAGCGCAATCGGTACAGCGGCTGTCTACGGGCTGGACGACCGAGGGATGGGAATTCGAGTCCCAGCAGAGTCAAAAACTTTCTCATCTCCACGCCGTCCAGACCGGGTCGGGGCTGCACCCAACTTCCTATCCAATGGGTGCCGGGGGCTCTTTCCCCGGGGATAAAGCGGCTGGGACGTGAAGCTCACCACTCACCTCCACCTAGTGCCTAGGTCAAGCAAATGTGAACCTGTTAGTTCAGCAACGGGACAACTTTAACCTTTACAGGTTACTGCCACAAAGTGCAGCATATGTACCAGCTGTGTGCGCTTTACAAAACTCTTGATGCTCATGGACACAGAGTTGAGGAGGTGGGTGGAAGGGAGATATCAGTGAAGAAACACAGTTCCAAGAACATCATCTATGGGAAATCCCTGCACTAGAGGTTCATTACGTCAAATGCTTCATAGCCATAAATAAGCCTCGTTATTCATTTAACGGTCGGTCACGGTAGCCGAGCGGTTTAAGGCATGTACTGTCTTCGCTCGCTTGGAAACCGGGATCGTGGGTTCGAATCCCACTCAGGGCATGGATGTTTAGTTTGTGTATGTGCGTTTTTCTGTGTTTGTGTACAGGTAGAGGCCTTGCGACGAGCTGATTACCCGCCCAAGGAGTCCTACCGACTGTGTAAGATCTAGAAGAACTGAAGTGAACAGAGAAGTTCATGGAGGTAGGCCTAGGCCCACTGGGGCTTTAGTGCTAAGGAAAAAAAATCATTTAACGAGTTGAATAATTAGAATGTACCGAAGGAAGACAACGGATGGAAAATAACGTGTTGGCTGTTTTGTGAAACTTAAATGACACACACAAAATCTGAGAGATGGATACATTTCCATGTTTGTACGATAGTCGTCATTATATTGTCTGTTTAAAATCGCAATATAAATGCGCTATTTGAAGTCTGCAGTGGAAGCGTATGTAGTGGGTCCAGAACGGGGTGCACTCAGCCTCGTGAGGATAATTGAGGAGCTATTTCAAGGAAATAGCGGCTCCGGTCTAGAAAACCGAGATTAATGGCCGTGGGGATCCATTGGGCTGACCACGCGACAGCCTCTATCCGCTAAAGTTGGCACTAACTTCGCCGACAAGCGGCGGTCGCTCGGTCGGTAAAGTTCGCTTGCGGAATACAGGCCGCGGAGTCTGTTTTTGTTTTATTGGAAATGTATTTATATGCAGCATAAAGTCAGTAATTTTTGGTTTGCGTGTAATTCTACGGGCCCAAAGATGAACACTTTAATGTGACAAATATGCACTTAATCAGAGTAAGAACGAATGTTTTGTGGTGAGGTTGTTTTTTACAACAGATTCTTAGAAATATGGTGACATGTGCGTTTGTTCATATCACCAATATGGATGGCATGTATCATGAAGTCGTGTCTCTCACAGAAACATGCAAGTAGAGTCCTCACGCAGTGTAGTGCAACAAGGCTCTTAGTCACTCCAAGAAAAAGTTTAATTCTGATAGAAACCGGCATAAAGTAAGCAGCAAGCAAATCCTGCTTCATATTCAACATAAACAAGCAGAAGTTTGGAATACTTTTTATATACGTAAAGAAGACAAAATTGTCTCTCTGCTTAATTAATTAAGCACTACGCCATGAAGACGTATCGAGGAGTGGATGTATAGACCCACCTTTTCTTGACCTCGGCACTAGTTGGAGGTAAGTGGTCAGCTTCACGCCCCGGCCGCTACACCACCGGAGAAAAAGCCCCCTTTACACATTGCATAGAAGACTGAGCTCTAGAACCGGTCTGGATGACATGGAGAATTGAAAATTCTTGGCCCCACCGGGAGTCAAAACTCTAACCCCTTGGTCGTCTGGCCCACAGCCGGTCTCTAACCGACTGCGCTATCCCGGTTATCGGAAAACCTTATATACATATATATATATATCGGTAAAATAATTCAGGACTAGACTTCATAACTATTTGCTAACGCTTCAAATTAAACACCATCCAAGTACACATAATTACTCGTAGCCTCTTATGACTAATATAATGGATTATGCTTCATAATGGTTATTATAATGTAAACAAAAGCTCTAAGGCTTAACGAGAAATGGAACCGATTACTATATAATAATCTGAAGGAAATACCACCGCTTTTTAAGGGGAAAAATACATAATTCTACATTATTGATGCACTTAATCTGCGCTCCGATTGGAGTAGTTGATAGCATTGTCTTGTCGTATACTGCTTCTACAAACAGCCGCTTAACATTCGTAAGTGGCTGCTATTTCAACTTCCCAAAGCCGACTTATGGCATCAGACAATTTCAATTTCCTTGCAAGATATGCCAACTGATGTACAGTTTCTAAGCTACAGCTCTACGATGTCAAATTCAGAGCAGAACAGATAAAAAATACAAATATTTGGCTTTAAATTCTACTGCCTCAGCATATACAGGTATTTGTGTGAATAAATCTGGTGTACTGTTTCTAGGCTCAGAGTTTTATCACAAATGTACAACATTTTGCGCTCAATACAGAAAAGTCAACAGAACCGATAACACAGCTATCAGCCTTTCATCCTTATCTATTCCTACCTACCACCTGAAGATGCTGGATATGTCCTCGGAAGCTTCATTCCCACAACATACAGTCTGTAATTAATTCAACACAATATTTCAGGTAAATAATGTATGTGTAAGAATTGATAATTCTAAGGTACATGTGTCAGATACGGAGTCATTGCAGAGCTGTTGAGGAAAGGATCAAAACAAAAGGATATAAATACTGAGATGAAACACAGAAATAGGAATAACTGCATATGTTCACATCACCTTGTATGTTAATTTAATAAAATGTGCTTATGTCATGCAACACAAATGCACATACACAGGTCCGCACACAGTGTATATGACACAATGACATCAAGATCTTGATTCAAGACAAATATTCTGAAATGTTTTGAACTACAAATAATTTGACAACATATGAAGTATTTCTTCAGTTGTGTTTTGATTACTTTTGGTGATGTAGTTTCTAGAAATAACCTAAGTGCTGGATATGGGGCATGAATTGAATGTTTGCTGTATGGCACTCTTGTTCCTTGTTTTACAACCCCCCC